GTAAAAAGCAATGGTCTTAACCTTCAATAATCGCCATACGGATCCTCCTATTCAAAGTATATCATATTTAACAGTGACATATCTAGGGGTTGGGGAGGGGGGAAAATCACTCTAGTGGTTAAAAATCACCTCAAATCACCTTATTTTGCAAGTTAGCACCTCCTCGCCTAATAATCAAGTCCCCACTTCACCTTCGTGCCCCCATCAGCCCCCCCCCCATTCAAGATTCCTAGATACGCCACTGTATCTTAATAATAATAATATAAGTATTTATTAAGCGTCAATTAAACGATAATCCATCAACAGTTTAGAAGTATCTTGAAAGAAATTCATCTGGATATCTCATATAGATAGGAGTAGCCGCCAAATGCTATATGAATTGATTGTTCTGCAATTATCATATCATACAGTAAAAATGTTGTTACAAAATTGTTATAATATTTTGATGGTGCCTTAGGTCTGAATTATTGTTGATTATATGATTCATAAATATAAAATAGAAATGAAATTAAGCCAAATAAATGTTTTAAAGCTCAGTGATTTAGAACTAGTATATAAAAGTGTAAAATATGAAATGTGTGTGTTCATTTTCCATTAAAATTCAAAAAAATGAAATAACATTCAACTATAGATTAAATAGAAGAATAATCATAAATTGTATTTACTGTCATGTTAATTACATTGTACATAACAATTGACAAATATGATTCATAGATATGGATCACAAACACAAAAAGTATTGTAAGACAGTTACAGGTATTGTAATCTTTTTTCTGGGAGAAAAAGGGTTAAGTGTAAAACATGAAACTTGGAAAAATTCCCTTTTCATGTTCCAAATATAAATATAGAAAAAATTTTTGGTGTTCATTGGTTTGTGTTTACATATTCGTTTCATCACCCAGTTGATTCAACTTTTTGTAATTGGGTCACTCAATATTAATGACAAGAAGATGAATTAAGTAGATTTCTATTTAAAACCACAGAGCAGTGGATGAAGTAACAAGATACTTGATTTGATTTGATTTATTCGATATCAACAGAACAACATCACAAAATCGGAACAACAAAAACAGAGAAACAAAAAAAGAGAAAACAAGCAAGTCGTCATTGTTGATATCTGGGATAACCCTCTAAATCCCAACACAGGATTTATTTCCAGAGGGGTCTTGAGGGCACCCTTGTTCCTCATCATGACAAATTTGTAGTGTCTTTGCCTGTAATGAATATAGTATGTAGGTTTCCATCCTCACACCAACCACCACCAAAGCATGTCTTTTTATTTAGGTATTCAAGCAAGCAAATTGGTTTTAACGATGTATGTTGTAATGTGGTATATGTTGCATGCTAATGAGTGTGAACAGGATTTGTTCCCATGCCTTTGTGGTCTGGCATTTGCCCTTTGATATTATATTGATCTAGAGATGAAGAGGCTATAGCTCAGACAAAGTTATGTGAAGAATGTGCTCGAGGCTTTGACCTGTAGATTCACTCGTTTAAAAACTTGGTGTTCATTTTCAAAATACTGGGCTTAGCTAAATTGTATATCGGAAATTTAAAGCTACTTGATACATTGTTCTTTTGTATTCATGTAGAGTCCTTTTAGGGACTAATTGTTTATATTTCAGCCGTAATTTATGCAGAAACAATTAATTATGCCACAAAAATTATTTATGGCCATTTAATGAATGTATTTCATTTACGCACCATTTTAATATTAGTGATAAGTATTTTTTACGTTTTTTAGCGAAAGTAATTTTTGAATGATCTTCAGAAGAGAACAGAAAATGGGGAAAAAATTTAATTGTATTTTTAGAATTTAGCAAAAATGATTCTACCAAAAGCATCTCAATGACTAATACAAATTCAAATAATTGAGGGCACCTTTTTCCATCACTCAGGGTCAGATCAGTTTGTACTGATAAGTGTCCTATATTTATTTAAGTTTCTAGGAAAATTATTATTTTTATGGGGTGATATTGTGGAAGTGGTTCTGATAAAAAGAGAGAAAAAACTTTTCTTTTTAAATTACTATACAATTTTTTGTGCTGACAGGTTCACTATTAGACCATTTGAATTGAAATTTTAATTCTATTTCAAATTACCGTTATTGAGATTTTGTTGTGGAACAAGATATAAAAAAAGTGGGAATTTATACGTTATTTTGATTGCCAATCCCTAATATTGTGGTCTAAAAGCACATTTTGTATATACTAAGCTATAAAAACTTTCCCTATGAACCCTACAAAATGTTTTTTTATTACAGGCCGTTGACCGAGGCTTCATCAACCCTTTGGTTCGAACCCCTGCGTAGGACACATCGGACCCCTCGTCGGCAAATTTTGGTGCCAACGCTGCCATTTCCTCACAAATAAAACTTAATGAAAAAAAATGTTTTTTCTCTGGTGTTTGGCTTCAGCTTTGTATAGTGGTTTTTATCACTATCGAATTTTAGACTTTTCCTTCCTATATGTTGCTTCTTTAAAATCTAAGTATATTCTTTAAAATGTAGGCATAACACTAGACCACTGTTGGGACTAATAAAGAGTACTAATGTGCCTTTGGATCTAACATGCAAATTAGGCCAGTCAGCATTAAGAAATCTTGGTTTAGTTTACATGTTTATACAATACACAAAGGATCTATTGCACTGGTGGTGTTTTTTATTTAGAGTTTTTGTTTTCTGAAAGCCTTTTATGCTGGGGAAAGTTTGTAGTTTGCACCAGATATCTTCCAGCATGCAGCACACAGGCCCATAGGCAGGATTTTCGATTGTGGGTGGGGGTATGTTTTGTGATCAAAGCAAGTCTTTGGCTGGGGGTGTTTTTTTGAGGGTCTTATTTAATGGATTTTTGAAACCCATAATCAATGAAAATTCTATTTAAATTTTCATTCTTTTGGGTGTTTGTTGTAGACCTGAAGAAATAATATTTTATATCCATTACATTTGTAGACCTAAATCAGTCTGCAATTACCAGAGCTAATCAACTTCAAACAAATTTTGTACCACTGTTATTCAATAGTTAGAAGAGCTGGCAAATGAAATGCAATGTATTGTGATAATTGGAATGATTTTAATGAAACAGGGGTCCCAAGTCTCCCAGAACTTGCGGGAGTCTCCTGGAACTCACAGGAGAGACTCCCTGAAATCTCCCGCAAGCAAGAATCTCCCGGAATTTAACCTATCTCTGCAAATTCATAATTTTGCATGGTTTCACTGCTTTATTATCAATTTTCTCATGTAAGTCAGCACCGAGGGGTATCACTTTATGCAGCAAAAACTTAAGAAAGTTCATTAACCAGATCAGTGGCAGATTCGAGGGAGAGAAAAGCCAGCCAGGGCCCCTAAATATTTCAAAATTATTACAAAATGGTGTAAAAAAGAAAATTATATTCAAATTTAAGACTGAGAGGGCCATTTCCAGCTATCTAGAGGTGCTGTAATCATAAACTTTTCTGACCTCAGCTCCAACCATAGTGGGCCTACACCCTCCATCTGTGAAAGTCTGCCCCCCCCCCCCCCAACCCGCCACTGCAGATCTCCCGGAAAGGACTTCTTCCAACTAGAGACTGATGAAATAAATAGGTTTTTAAAAAGTGAACCTTTGAAACTTGGGGTGGGGGAGTCCACCCCCTCTGCACCATTTTCTCCTAGTGTGGTAGTTGACTCTTTGAAGACAGAGTGGTTTAGCTTAGATTTATATTGTGAATAGGTACTTTAGTAAATGAAATACAGTAATTTTAAGACTTGCATTGTTGCATCAAGAAAATGTACTTTCCAGATACAGTAGGATATTTAATTTTTCTTTTAATTATTGCCTCGGGAAAAGATTTTAGAACTACTTTACAAAAGCTCAGTATTGCTTCTATGACTCAAAATTCAGTTAATAAAGGCAATTATCAAAAGTGGTTCTCTGTACTCAGAGGTTGCAGAATAGCCACAGTCATTCAAGTGGTGTATAGCTGAGCACTCACTGCGTTGCTGGATGAATCCAACTCCGCTCCTTTTGAGCTCTAGACGACAGCGACTTAAAAAATTTTGATTGTTTTGTTCATGCTTGTTATTTTGTAAAATGTCTTGAAATGTGAAGATAATTGCTGTATTTCATCCTGATAGAACTGTGATAGGACATCTTTATTGCCAATGATATGATGAAAATGGAGTTTATTTTACAACCTATTTTACACTTTATTATTGTAATTATTAATTATTGTCATTATTACCATATTTATTTCATTATTGTTATTGATAATATGGGACATCATAAATCTATGCACACATCTAGGATGTTCAAACCCAAGTACAGTACAATGAATGTAATTCTGGGCAGGTTTTCAAATCATTTAATTTCTCAAATACTATTCATAATTCTTATCAGCTGATTTTTCTATTTTCCATATGGGATAGTCTGCCTATTCTCTAGCTAAATACCATAGGAGGTAATTGACTTGTGGAATGAATAGTGCAAGGCTAGGCTAGACTAAGGCTTGGCTTCATTCGCCTATGGGAATGAATGAAAACGGCAGCCTTGGCCAATATTGCTTGTTCTGGTAAGGTATGCCAGTCTGCCGTTTCCTTCATAATGTTATGCCATCCATGACAAAGGACTATAAATAATTTGTTGGCAAGAGATAAATCAAGAATTACTAGTATTCCATCCCAATGTGTTAATTTCAGTTTTTCTTATTTTTAAGTACTACATTTTTCATAATTTTTTTTTTTGTTAAAGCATGGTTAAAGTGTGTGTAGTGTTCATTTTGCTTATGGTCTGTGCGGATTGGGGGAAATGACAGTTAAAACCATCTGGTTTCAGGCCTGGCATTTTTTAAATAAACAGGGGTACTTCAATGTTTTTATTGTAAATGGTCATTAACCTTGGCACAATTAGTTATTTTAATATCCCAATTCCCAATCCCATCCCACCCCTCCAAGAATTTAACCACAAAATGATGAAATGATCTAGAGAATAGATAACAATGTATATGGCTTTAATCTCTCTTAGGTTGCTCGATGTTCTTCATGGTGAGACTACTAATACAGACAGGAAACTGACGTTGGTATTTGAACACATAGACCAGGATCTTGCATCTTACATCGAGAACTGTCCACCTCCAGGCTTGAGCCCGGAAAAAATCAAGGTATGAATCTATTTCTATTTTGTAGGCTTAAAGTAAAGTTAATTTCACTTATAATATTATACATAAGTAAAATGTATTTCAAGTAGAATACATTTTACTTGACAAGAACAATAAGTTTTGGCAATAATGTGGAGTCTAAACCCGAGTTACCAATGTTGCTGCAGCTGGAAATTATAAAAACATGGATTAGCAACATGCCAACTCTAAAAAAAAAACGTGTGTTAACCATGGGGGTTTTTTTTGGCCCTTTTTCTGCTGAACTGTATTTTTGGATAATTATGTTTTAAAGCACTGTTATATCTGAACAAAAGGAATGGACTATTAAGAAGCAGCAAATTGAATTAGATTTGATAACAATGTTTTTAACTCTTGAAGTAAAAATTTCAGAATTAAAGATTGAGGCAAAGCAGGTGACATCATACTTCTGCATCATAAAATATGAAATATTATTTGATTGTTTTATAATGACCTGTTTCATCTTATAACTTTATCCAACATTTCCTATTGTGAATTTCCTCCAAAAGATAACAAAGATGGTGCTCATGTAACAGATTACCTAATTGGTCGGTTCTTAACAAAGACAATATTAACGCCAGGAAATAGCCTATCAGGACTGATCGTATCAGGGGTTAGGTTAGATAAATTCAACAATCTCTAATGGTCCAGCTTGCAGTTCCTGTGATCATGATATTCTGCTAAGTGGGATGCTGGCCCTACATTTGAGTATTCTTTGTAGTTGGTTTATCCCCTTTGGAAATACCTATGAAAGGACCAAGTCTGGTCAATCTATCACTTGCCGATTTCTCTTTGTTCTCACTTCCCCTCTATCCCAATGACATTCTCTATACCATCTATTTTTAGGTAGGACAAATTTGTATTATGGGCAATATGGGAGTTGACTTAATTCTTTTTTAGAGAAACCTTTATAAAATGGGGAAATAGAATATAGAAACTCTTTCTTAGATCAAAGTAAAAGAAGAAAATGCTTTAAAATAAACACAGGGCTGTTTTACAATACCCCTGTGGTGGAAAGTAGAAGCTTTGGGCTTTAAAGAAATTTAAATATGTTAAGATCATTATTCATTCAGTCAGTCAGTCATTCATATATTCTTCATTCATTCATTGCTTTCTTCAGAGTTGTTATAGGAATACAAAAGTTCTACTCTCCCAAGTGGCCTCACAGGAGTTCGCAAATACAATAAGCTGGAGTAATTCCCGCAAAAACTTGTCTACACGTTGGTTCTTTTCATATATGATTTTGTTCTATTTATATAATGATTATTAATATGCATTTTCCCCAATTTATTGCTCCTGAGTTTTCATTCTCAGCAATTTCTATAATTATTTATGACTCAAACTCCCAAAAAGCCTATTATATAGTCTTATACATCCACTGGCATTGGTAATAAACTTAATACCTAATATATATTTCTTACCATTATTTTGTATGTTTTGTCTTCATGTGAATGATATTTACAATACTAAATTTTTTAACTTTTTTTTTTAGTATCTTATGCGTCAGCTTTTGTGTGGCTTAGATTTTCTTCATAGCAACCGAATTGTACACCGTGACATCAAGCCACAGAATGTGTTGGTAACCAATAAAGGAGAGTTGAAGCTAGCTGACTTTGGACTAGCAAGGGTATATACCCAAAATATTGCATTGACATCTGTGGTAAGTTTGTGACTTCAGGGATTATAGATTCCTTGATATCTTACTCTCTACCTTGCTTGCTTTAGAGGATTGAATTTACAGATCCAGGAATGCAGAATAAGAGGGGGGGGGGGTGGAGTTGAGGTATTAAAAAGACTGTGGCACCTAGGTAGCCCAGAAATAGCACACTTAAACTTGAATTTGAATATAATTTCCTTTTAAAATTCAGGTGGCAGATGGCCTTCACCCTTGTATCCACCGTTGCTACTCTAAACTGATCTGTAGAGAATGGGGTTCCCTCCAGAACCCATTGAAGGAATTGAGTCCCACCCCATTGCAGAGACTGAATTCCTCCATATCCCACTCAAGAATATGCAGTATATATCTCACTCATTCCTCTACTGGTCTCCCCAATGAAAGGCCACTCCAACCTTTAAACACTGAATGTGACTAGCCTATTGGTATATTTGCGAAGATAAACTTTACATCATATTGAAATTCTTGTGGTTGTAGTTTTTATATACTTGTTTGATAACCTTTCACCACCCAATCATTCTCACTCTATACTCTATACTCCAAGTTCATGAGTACGAAAAGCTTTCGAAAATAATACTAAAAACTTCCTATTTATAGATGCTTCTATATGTTTTATGTTGAAGGCACTATTTCACCATTGTCCTAGGACTTTTTTAAAGAACGTATGCTTCGTAAAATGTGTTTTTGTCAAACACTGGCTGAAAATGTCCACCTTGCTTTTATAAAAAATTATTGCAGTATTTTTAGACAAAATCTGTCTATGAAAATATCAAGGGAGAGGGATTATGCTAGGAAGGTCTATCAAAGTTATTTAGAGAATGTGTTATTGTATTACGTTTTAAATGCTTGGTGCATGTACTGGGTTTGTCAACGAATTTGTCTGCCTAATGTGCGAGTGCTAGCCAAACACACCAGTCTTTTGACCATAAGTTGCAGTGCTAGCGATTGTTGTTGAGAACAACCCGTAGCAGCAACTGCCTATACAGTGTGTGTTGCCTAACATACACTTGTGTTTCGCTGTATAAAAGCATCATATTTATCCAATTTAATTTACTAAAGCAACTTTCTTACAAATCGGTGCAAGTTAAATTTCATAGTTCATTTAATAATACTGTATGTTAAACTTAATGCTTCATGCTAACAATTCCTCTAGGAATTTGTACTCCTGGGTGGAGAGAAACAAGTGCAGGTAAATTGCCTTTCCCAAGGACACAAGCAAAATGCATAGTGAGGGATTGAACCCCTGATATCAATGTTGAGAAGTAGCACTGCAACCACTGCACCACACTGCCCCTACTTTTATTCTAATTGTTAGTGAATACATATTTTTGGAATGCGAGCCAACCAGAGAATACCAGGACAGTTCATGAGACACTGCTATTATTATAATTAAGAAAAAATACTAGATGCATACAGAGTAGCAAGATTGTCCTTGTAGCTACAATGAAAGGAAGTATGTTAATGCCTTAAGACAATTTTCATAATTCTACTCCTGATGTTATGTTATGATATCATGTTTATGTAGATTAATAATTGTATTCCTAATGATGGATGTTCATTAAATGTAACCACAATCAAGGAAGTATGTTCATCCTCCTGGATGTACACCTATTATCACATCAATAGCTTCCTTACACTTAGTTTTGATTTCATAGCAAACTGTTTTCTTTAGATCTCCTGTGAGGAAAGAGTTCCCTGTCTTTGTTCTCTTTGTAATAAATCACTTTACCTCAGCTGAGTCTAATTTCCTTTGTTTGGATATATCTGTAACATAGTAAAAATTTCCCAGCCGGTTTTTACATAGCAGATTTGATATTTATGATGGTAGCAGTAGCTATGATTGCATCCAAGATTGGTGATTTACTTATGGTAGTAAATGTTACTTAATGCTTGGTATAATATTACCATTGAGTTTGATTCATATTTTTGCTGTTTAACATTAATGCACTTTGCGTAGAAAGTACATCCTAAACTTTAATATGACATTGACGGATTCAGACCATATTTTATAGGTGGTATTAAAGTGTATAATATAAACAAAATGATCTATGTTGATTATAAATCCAGATTTACATGAACTATATTACATTTTCCACTGAGTCTTAGAAAATGGAAGCGCGGTTTGGTGCTCAGTTTCCAATGCCACAGTCTTAGGTTCAATACCTGAAAATACACAAGCAGAGTGGCACAGTTTTTGTTTCCTGGTTTAAAACCTAACCTTGGCCAATCTAATATAGTGTGTCCTTTCCTTTACTCCAATTACTATGCCCTTCAGACAAGATGTTAAGATGTTAGTCCTACATACATACAGTATATGCATAATTATGTACATAAAGGCTTTGTACATTGTGGGACAATGTGGTGTGGGACAGTGTGGTATTGACCTTGTAGCATGTTTAATTGTCTTAGAGCTGCCATTGCCCATATTTTCCTTTTACACTGATTACACTGATTACCTTGCCCTTCAGGTAACATGTTAAGCTGTTGGTGTATATAATGGATCTGTAAATGAAATAAAAAGTCAACTATTTGTAAAGTATTCTTTTTTTTACTAGCCAAAATTCACACCTTGTCATGTCTTTGTACATTATTTAAAAATTTCTGTGTTGTGCTCATGTCCTTAAATTAAATCAGAGTTTGAAAATCAGATGTATTATCTTTCACCAGGTTGTAACATTATGGTATAGAGCACCAGAGGTCCTACTGCAGGCAATCTACGCCACACCACTAGACATATGGAGTGTAGGTTGCATATTTGCTGAATTATTCCGAAGAAAGTATGTATTTTTCTTTATAGCTTTTATATAATAATTAAATTGTGTTTTGTGTTATGAATCTAGCTCCCACCAGGGTGTTGCTAGCAGTTGCATTGGAAGCCAAAAACTAAAATTGATACTATAGCTTAAAGGGAACCCCCCCCCCCCCACAATCTTCTTTGGTGCTAAATTGAGCCATATAAAATTGGAATAGTTTATGCTTAGAATATTATATAAAACATTTTAAACACTATATCAATTTTAGATATAAGAAAGTATAAATTAAATTAAAATAATAATAATGTATATAATCAATTATAAGAATTTAACCGTGTAATTGATTGGCAATAAAAAATATGAATAAGAATTGATTGGTTAATTAATAACCATTCATTAAAACTCATCAGTGAGCTGAACAAAATGTAGACATCTGCCTTTTGCCCATAATTTATTGTCTATATTTAGAATGTGTTATTGAGTTTTACTGCCCGTGTATACTTAAAATTTCCAGAACTAATGATTACAAAACTCCCATTAATTATTTGATGGGTAATAAAGAATAGAATTGACAGCTTGTCAATCAGTCCATCATTCAAACAATCCATCAATCAAGTTACCAACACCTCTCAGTATAACTTTTATATTACAATACTTGTCTTGAGGCCCACCTTAGGCAAGACTTTTTTACAAGATCTGTGTGCCTTTCATTCACATGTGTTGCTTCCTGTTGTTAAATCATTTCATAATAATTGTCTTAACCCACATGGACCAAATATTGCTAGAACTAAATAAAGCGGCAATCGCTTTCACCATGAGGAAATATATATAATATATATATTATAAATGGACATAAAGAGAAGTGAGTCAATACATCTAAAAACAACCGGATACTATTTGCTAAATAGTGTACCAAGTTTGTTTTTTTTTGCGCACAGATACAAATGGACATAAGACCATCAGGTTTATTTGATATCTGCTTTTTTAAACTTTTTTAGACCACTGTTCCGTGGAGAATCTGAAGTTGACCAGTTGTGTAAAATTTTTGAGTAAGTAATATAGCATAAAATTTTATTTGAATTACATGAAAATCTGTATGTCTAATATATCAAAAGTCCATTCTGTAACAATTAGACGCAGAAACTTAAAGTACAACGACATACCAATGTAATTTTAACAAAATATTTACATATTGAATGGGTCAAAAGAGGAATGTAAGAATTATTCAAGAACTTATCAGTGTTATTGTTGCATTTTTAACAACAGGAAAGAGATTAAAGGGAAGCCATGACGCAGGGAGATTTTTTGGTTTAGTATAGTGAAAATGTTGCTTTTGGACAAAAAAAACTGCATTCACAATAACTATGGTTATCGCAAATTATAGTGTGGTATCAGAGGACAGGGAATCGATCTATACTTATTCAGAGGAGTTCCCCATCCTGATTTCCCGATTTCAGACCTTCACCTCCACTTTGGGTTGTTGAAACGCTTACTTATTTGTACATATTATGCCTATATTTTTGTTATGCAGTTAATAAATTGGATCTGTAATGTTAGGCAAAAAAGGGATAGTTTTGAATGAAAGGTCTTGTAGAGAGATGGAGATTAAAATTTAAGAGGTTAAATATTTGGCACAGATAACAAAAACTAGTTTAGTTTTTGTGTGGGCATGTGTGTGTGCAGTAGGATATAATTAATTAGGTGAGATGGAGGGAAATGCATGTCTCGTTGGGGCTGATTGGCTGCCTGTTGTAAGGTGACGGATTGCCATATCTGATAAGGGTGTAACAACCATTTCCTATCCTTCCATGTATTGAAATGGGCCTGCCGGCTATCAAGAATAGGGTATTAAAGATTAAATGTGGTAAAAATCTTTAAACAAAGTTGTTTGATTAAAACTTTTAATTTCTCACATATTTGTAAGAGTTATCAACTTCTAATTAGCTACAAATTGAAGCAAATAAGTTTTTGTTGATTTTGCAAACTTTTACTATAAAGTTCTTAAATTTTCTGCCTATTTAAGGATTTATGCCCAGAATATAAGAACATTATTGATTATGCATCTCTTTGTTGTTTAGGAAAATATTTTTGACTGAAAGATAATGGAGCTTACTTAAAAATGAAATAATCAAGTGAGATAGTGAACATTATTACTGAGGTTTAGAACATAAAATTTTTGAATTCTCATTTTGGGCTGTACTTGGTAAACAGTTACCTATATCAATATGTGATATAACATTTTTACATGGAATCTTGCATGTAGTGTGATAGGCCTGCCCCCTGTGGATAAATGGCCTGACAGTAGCTTACCGTGGAGCTCTTTTGCGGGCTGTGTTCGAAGACCTCTGGAGGATCTGGTACCCGAGATCTGTAGAGATGGTCTGGACTTACTTGAGGTATGACTAACATGTTACACTTTTCTTTATGTACTGATAGGTCTTTAATCTAAAATATTTGAGATTAATAATATTTTATGTTTAAATTGGTAATTTATAGCATGGGACCAACACTTATTTTGGAGTTTGAATGTTGCTTTGTTTGTGGTAATTATAGTGAAATACAATCTATACAGAACACAGCTAGCTTTATATAAAAAGACGGATTCAAGGGTTGCTCAGCCGGCCCGGGGCCCAACCCCACCCCTAGATTTTTCAAAATATAAAAGAAATTGAAGAAAAAAAAATTCTATTTAAATTTTGATTCTAAGAGTGCCATTTCTTGCTATCTAGAGGTGCCATAATCATAAATTTTCTTACCTCAACCATGGGGCTGAGGTAGTATAGACTCTTTGTCTGTGAAGGTCCCCCTCTGGGTCCCCTCTATTCAAATTCCTGGATCCGCCACTGTACAGTATATTGTTTAAAATTACATTGTTCCTAGGTTACAAATGTAACAAGCCTATTGACCTAACAAATATCAATTTCTATATATTAGTTTCTGGGAACTGACACACTAATTCTGAAACTACTTTTCATAGGGGGCAGATCAGCATTAGTATCACTACTACTCTTAATATCCATATACTAATTATCATAGTTAGTATGCTCTTTTCCTCAGCAAATGCTGCAGTTTGACCAGAATGCAAGGATAATCGCATCTGATGCCTTACAGCATCCTTACCTGATGGATGATGACGATGATGATGAAGATGACGAGGATGAGGATGATGAAGAAGATGACGATGATGAAAATGATGCTGAAGATGATTTAACAATGGCCTCTCAAGAATCTAAAGTAATCTTTTTAAATTAATTTATTAATGTGTGCTACATGTATAAATATATAATTACTCTACTATGTAAAGCACAATCTAACCATCTAGTGCAAATTGCTTATTTTTTGCTTCAAACTAATTCTTCTCTATGTAATTTTGATGAGAGATTAAGTAAAAAATATTTTTATGTAATAGGATTCGTCAGAAGTGATGAGTGTAGCTGGAACCAGTGATGGACGTAGCAGTAGTAGGGAGTCATCCTCAAGACCTACCTCCTCCACAGACACATCAATCTCATCACAGTCCATCTCCTTGACGACAGAATCCTCCACCGATGGCTCCTTGTTTTTGGACCCACTTCTGGATGAACTACGACCAGGAATTTCAAAGGAATCATGATCCGATTTAAACAAAAGTAGAAATTTAAAATTATATATATTTTTTTGGTTGAAAAAAAGAAGAAAAAGATTTATTTACTTTGGTAAAGCCTTATTCCACTATTTGGAGAATATGACTAATAGAAGAATTATCTTTAGCCTACTCAGCATCATAATTTGAGATTAGTTTGAGCTGTATTTTAGGCAGTAGTAATGTTGCAAACTTTAGTTAAGATGCTGTTCTTAAGTATTTTTCATGAAATAAACAGGTATGTTTATGTATGCTCTTTTATTGAAATATATTTCCTACGCAGAGTAATATTGGAGATTTTCACACTCTGAATTTACAGTAATTATTGGCTTTAGTTGGAAAGTAATTGATTTACATGTAATATTAATGTAGACCTGCCAAGTTCGGGTAAATCAATTATGGGATAGTTACGGGCGGGAGGAGTACACCACCTCAGCATTGGCATATCTAGGGATGCGTGGGGGGGCCCCCCCCCCAAAATCACTTGCAAGTACAGTAGTTAAAAATCACCTAAAATCACCTTATTTTGCGAGTTAGCACCCTTCAACTGAACATCGAGGCTCCGACTTCACCTTCGCACCCCCATTTCAAAACTTCTAGATACGCCACTGCACCTCAGGCCGAGGTTCAAATTTTGCTCCAAAATGACCTTGCAACGACCTTATAAGAAAGGCAAAGCACCCCAAATTGTGGCTTTCCAGTAACCAGTTTTAACTTTTTGTACTTATTGTGCTGAATAGGTGCAGGGGAGATAAAGCAATTGAAAAACTTGTGGTTCTAGGCAAACTTTTCCTTTATTTTGCAGTTCCACTCTTGTTGTGTGTATGAACCTATTTAACTTAAGAAATGCATGACTCCTACAACATTTTAAAAATGTAGACGGGATCCAGGACAATAATTTTGTGTGACTTTTGAACTAAATGCCTATATGCTTGGCAGGTCTCTTAATGTAGTATAATGAACTTTCAGTTACAGAAAATATATCATTCAATGATCATGTTAAAAACTGTAATCGATTCTAATAATATAATTTCAGAGTAAAAGAAAAATATACATGCAAGTGTGTATATAAAACGGAATTAACGAGGCTCAAACAAATTGTTTTCTAACACTGTACAGGCAAGAAGTGCATAGTATATAGGCCTAGTAAAGAACCTGCTGAGATGTATAGCTCAGACATGATTATTATCACTCAAATATAGAATCTAGGAAACTGTGGGCAAAGCTAGTGATAGGCATGATGATAAATAATGTGGGTAGTGTTTTTTTATCTCAGTATACAAATATAAAGAGTGGAGTATCCGGCAAGTGCTTTAACTTTACAAATACAAAATCATGTATGAGAGCAAAATACCAAATCATAAGACTAGTCTTGAGT